ACGTGAGCTCACTTTAATCGCTGATGAAGACTGTGCGATACAGTCGAAAGCTTCGCTTACAAATTTTTCAGACTTTGTGACAAGAATAATTTGTTCGTTTATTTATACACAAAGGTCAAGAATAAGCGTAGTCACATTCGATTTGTTTTTACCTCAATATCAAAGATAACGAAAGAAATCTTTGTCAAGATTTGTTGACAATTGAAAACACCGACTCGGACTTGAATTTGCACGCGCTGCACTAAGCAAATGAGCTACTTGTACGCATCAGACTTTCCTTTCAAAAACGTTTGCAAACTCGTTCAACGTGCAGAAACAAGAAAAAAATGTTTGGGAAAAGAGTAATGACGCGTACTCGTTGTCTATAAGAGTACAGACCACGCTAAACCACCTTTCGATTTGTTTTTTTTACCACAATATCAACGTCAAAGAAAATGCTTTTTTTTTTCAGAGCGCGAGCTGAAAAAGGCATTGCGCGACACATTGACGCGAGCAGCGTGGTATGGACTCTTATCGACAGCCGCAAATTAGCCAGTCAGATTGCGAGATTAGCAGCAATTGTGGTAGAAAGCAAAATAACCCGTGCTGGCTTCGGGAACCTGACATCGAGTAGTTGTCGTCACCGAGTCATTTGTGAAATTCAGTCTCTCACTTGAGGAAAAGATTTCTCTCCCGAGAAAAGGTGATCAGTCTTGGTAGTAGCATTCGCGAGCGTTTTATTTGAGCGTCGATACTAAACAACATCAAACCTTTGATAATTGAAGAATGTGTTAGAAGTGATTAGCTATAATCCATCAAACCTTTTTCGATTTTTCGTGTATATTTTTTAGCTAACGGAGGTTATCCTTGGTTATAAATTCCCAAGCTCTGGCTGCGTCATGAGAATGCATAAGTTCCGCTCAGTCGGTTACTAGAAAAATATTTGATGGAATATAACTGACGTATAAGGTAACAGAGTAAACAGACGTTCACGTGATCACACGACTCTTGCATTGTGAAGTATCTTTATTAGATTATGACTATTAACAAGTGCAATTACTTTTACTTAAAAATATACTATCATTTACAATAACTAGAAGAAATTGTGAAAAAGTGAAGCTGGAGTAACAAATTATACTGGGTAGTCAGTGCACAACTTTCACAGGGGTGGTGTGGATTGTTTGTACGGTGGGACCACGTGACGTTCTGGTGTTTGCTGTCCGAGTCGGCGGTGCACGCTGACCATGAGGATGACGACTTGGGGGCGCTCCTGACGTGGCCTGCTCGGAGGAATGCTTCTGAATAAGAACTGAACTGACAGGTCCCTGGGTACCTACGAGACCTAACATACAACAATACATGTCATGCCACGAAAGAACAGTCAACCTATGGAAAGCGACCACCTCGAGAATTCGACAAAGTGTTCGTTACTACATGTAGAAATAGTCGCTTACAAGAGCGGTCGCAATGACAGCTCTGACCGCAGTGTGTATTATTTCTTGGCGAACAGAAAGGATTGTATCTCTCTATCCGGGACGTGGACAGTTTGCAATACCTTCCCAACCTCACTCTACGCATTCACTCTCTCCACATTCTGGCAGACGTCGCGTGTACAGTGCCCAGAGCTCAAGGAAGAACAAGGCCAGAAATTGGAAATAACAAAACAATAATAAAAAATAACGGGCATACTGTACCTGCACCTCCCTTCTGTCCTTGAATATCTGACCGGCAAACAGCTTTCACTGTCACGGTTTTTCCCGCCTGGCCTGGTTTATCAGCTAAAGGCCTATGCCTGGCAGGACCGTGACCAAACTGCGGTTGCGTGACAGTTGGACCAGATGTCGTTACAATAGGAAGTGGAGGTTGATGGCGTGGCATGTCTTCTGCATCTAAGCAATGTTAACAGGAACAATGATTGAATTATGCTTTGTACTATAAAAGTATAATGAGAAAGTAAATCGACTTCGCAGACTGGCTTGATAGTATCACATTAGGAAACTCTCTATCTAAGAGCGGGAGACATTTCAGGCAACTCCCTGATCTGCCTTAACATCATTTTTAGAGAGGTTTCACGAGTTTTTCAGAAGATTGTTATCTATTGTAATACCAGATACAATGAATCAGATGATGTACATACTGAGATGTAAGATCGTACCATTGTTATTTACTGCAGCACCAGGCGGAGGTCTTCGTCCGCCCTCTTCTCCTTCCCTGAACATGCTCATGGCTTCTAGGTTCAGAGCACACACTCCACGCATAAAAGCTTTTTTCATGGTTTCTTCATAACGCTCCCTCTCGGCATGAAGATGAGCGATTTCTGTGCGCGCCATTTCCAGCTCACGGTTGGCCTGCAAACAAAAGATTGCAAAACTAACTTTCTGATAAATGGAAGTCAAAATACAGTTATCGAGCACGAAAATCTATGCTGAGGGGAAACACCAGCTCAGCAGGCCAACAAAAGAAAGAGATCACTTATTAAAAGTATTGAAAATATTACTGATGAGAAATGCGTAACTACAGGTTTAGGCATCCAACTTGGGAGCACAAAGTCACTCGTGAATTCTTCATTAAGTCCACACTCGTGAATTCAGCGCAAGGTAGTGTTATCACTATACAGGTTCACCCGGAGGCCCGCCTGATAATCATTTTCTAAGACCATATTTAATTTGGTGTTACAAGACTGGAGTTTTTGTCTGTAAAAGGAACATTGTAAACACGACTTACCGTTTGAAGACGACTTTCGTAATCTTCCGTCAATTTCACGCACACATCTTGAGCTTTCGCCTTAACAAACAGTTGGAAAGAGCATGATACATGTCGGAAACAATTATTATTTAGTACACTGGCAGGCATAATATGGCAACTTCATTGTTTGCCCAGATTTACAACTTAGATATACACTGTAAAAGGAGAGACAGTTGATGCTGACAATTCATTTGTGTGTTGTTTTCGTTTTTACGCAGGGCCCCTTTTGATACCAGCCTATGGCTGACGAGGCTACCCTGCCTAAATAAAGCTGGTTTGACTTGACTTGACTTGAAAAGAAAATTACATGCACAGGTCATAGACTTAAGCTTTGGCTTGTGCATTGCTCGTTAAACACAAGGGAATTCACCTGACAAGCTTTCTCTACTCTCTGTTTCCATTTGGATTCAATAACAGATCGCCATGCGTTCCAGGCACGAAATTTAAGAGCGTGTTTGTAGTGTTTTCTGGCGAGTTTGGAGGCAAAACCCTGCAGACAAACGTGAAGAACAACTGTCAACATAACAAAAAAATCAGAATTCTTCAAATCAGCATTACAATTTTGCTTGCTGAAATCAAAACGACATCAAATACTGTCGATAGACTCTGTGGAATGGCAGGGAAAGCTGCTGCTCCCTCTCTAAGAACTTGAACTTGAAGTACAACATGTAAATCGTATTCCACTCCTCTTGTAAAGCAATGGATAGCGCAGTTTGTTTTGTTAATACCTATCCAAAGAATAGTGATTTATCTGGTGGATAGCGTTATTTACCCTATGAGCAACTGGGCCCAAGTGTACATGAGGTTCAATAAGAAAGCGAAACAAGCACTTTATACTTACCCCATGACTGACCAAAGCTCGCACATGAGCGAACCGTGAAACAATCTCTTTAGAATTTACATGTAAGATTATAATTGGACTCTTTTTCCAGATTTCAGATTTTTCATTGTTTTGTATTATTTCTTACAATCAATCAAAAAAAAAAAATATTACATATTACCAACAAGAACACTGACAGAACCAAAAATTTACAATAAATAGAAAGTAAATGTGCGCAGTGACCAAAGTAGCTAAGGCCTTCGGGTTGGTCATTGCCACGTTAAGTCAACTAGCGTAGACAATAAGCTTATAAAACAAGAAACAGTACAAAGTGTATCATATAAATTACTTGTTAGGTATACTGATGTTTGTATATGAAAAACAATAGGGCGTGTATCTTAAAATTACCATCACAGCGCCGCCATATTCCGCTTCTTTTGTTTGTTTTTGTTGGAGTAGTTGTTTTTCGCTTGAAATAGCTAAGGGTTAGTGATTTACGAATGAGAATGCAATCATTACATGAAAGCAAAAGACAAACAAACATCTAACCTCTCTCTTTTCATCGCAGTGTCTTATTTTCCAGAGTGTGAATGCCCTCATCAACTCACTTCTTTCTTTCTGTGAAATACATAACGTGTAAGTGTGGAAGACTTTTAAATGTTGACCATGAATGGAAAGCAAATGTGATGAAAGGATAAACAAGAACAGCTGTTTGCTCGCCTATAAGGGCTCCTGGCTACCAACTTCTTGTTATAATTGTTGAGAGAAGGGTTTGGGAACTTCCAGAAGGGCGGTTACTAGAAAGGAAAGCTGGTGTTAAAGATTGCCTCTCACCTGTTTTTGAATAGCATCCGTGATATTTGCCACGATGGAGTCCTTGTGAGACAGGGTCTGTTCATAAGTCAGTAACAACTCTTTTTGACTCTCCATCTCATTCATCAGTTTGTTCATTTCAACACCGTGTCTGCATGTTAAACAAAAGACCTATTCAAATATGAATGTATCATGTTGTAAAACCTCAGCCAATATGGCATTTAAATACACTACTACGACAGCCCACCACGTGACCTGCAAATAACTACCTGTAAAAAAAATGGTCCGCTCATGCGTCGTGGACCTTTTCACCGATGTCACCCTCCAATTCTTCATTGAAACAAAAAATCAGCCTCACTGCTCAATTTATCATGCCAAATTTAGTAAATCCACAATAGCCAGCAGAACAAGCGGATTAGCGGGGCAGAGAGCGAAACCCGACACCTGAGCGCGGAGCGCGAGACGAAAAAAAATCCGCCTAGTCACACCATTGTTTATGCACTACCGTCCCCTTGAAATGACTGGCATGAAAGAGAGGGNAACATGTAAATTGTAATTTACAAAGAATGTAAATCAAGATTTACATACTGTAAATTACAATTGACATGTCCATGTAAATTTTCAACTTTTCCAGTGCGTGTATCGCGTTTCGCTCTCTGCCCGCTAATCGATCCTAATCCGCCTGTTCTGCAGGCTAATCCACAAAGGTTTGCAATTCGCGTCTTGAAATTTCGTAGATTTGCTAAATTTGGCATGATAAATTGATCAACTGAGATGTTTTTTCATTATTATTGTTATATGACAATATACGAAAACAAATAACAACATGAACATATCGATTTTAAAACTTCGATGCCAACAGAAACGACTTGAATTGTGAGTATCGAATATCACTATTTTAGATCTCTTTTTAATTTCATTGATTAAGAATAATCGGAAATAATGAAATTGATTGATTGTTATCGGTTAAATTGATTAATCGTTTGCTCTCCAATACTCTGGTCCAAGAGGTTTTTCTTGATTTTTCATCTTTTCGCGAAGCGGCGAACACGAGTCGCAAAGCGGCAAGAAAGAAAAACCCTAAGCGTTTGACAGCTGGCGTCTGCATGAAAGTGAGATTCAAGTCCAAAGTTACCAGAGGGTTTTCTTCCTCGCCGCTTCGCGACTCGTGTGTTCACCGCTTCGCAGGTCTCTCGCAGCTCTCTCATGCGGAGAAAACTCACGAAAAACCTCTGGGACCAGGGTAGCTCTCGAATAATTAATTTATTTTTGTCAATCTACATTTTTTTCGTTTTCTTTCTCTTTTTTCTCAGTATCACAGGAGGATATGTGCCTCGCACTGCGAAGATTTAATCGACCGTTTAATACTTGTGCCTGACAACATCTTGCGTGATACTTGCAGAGACGTTTGGGAATCAGACAACACTGATTGCTTTATCAGCAACTTCGGCAAACAACACGTGATCAAATTGCGTGAATACTTCAGAATCAAACCTCTGTGTTCTACTTAACATATCAAACTAAAGATGGCCTTGGATGTACAAGGACTGCGCCTTACAGATGATCACACTTTGGAAAGTGCCTCTGAAGTGATGTCACAGTTACAGTTTGATCGACGGTTACCGAATTCGGCATACGTACAAGCACTGTTGCGAGACCTTGGATTCCGGAGTCAACAAGATGGCGTAGAACACACACAGTTTGTTTTCCAAGGCCAGTGTTTGGTACTGGGAGATGCCAGAGTTGGTAAAACAAGCTTAAAGAAGTCGCTTATGGGAATACCGTTTGATGCAGACGAACCAGGGACAAAAGGTGTCGAAATGAGTGTAGTTGACCGGAAGTGGAGAAACCTGCGTGCCCTCGCAAGCCTCAAGTTTGGAAGCTTCGCTCGATTCCGGAAATCTGCTCTCTATCAGGGTGTAATGTATGGGCCTGCTGGAATCGAATTCAAAATCGGTGAAGAAGTGACATCAGCGATGTCTGCAATAGCTTACTTATTGTTCATGTTTTTGCGAATATGCTGGGTTCTTTCAACCCTATGGTTATGGGCTTTTGCCCCAGTGTCTGTTAGTTTTTTTGCATTTTCAGTTGCCGCATTTTGTTTTGAAGTGTTACTGCAGCAGCTTCTTCCATCTGAATATCCACTATTTTTTAAACTCGTTCAATTGTTTGCCAGTCTTTCTCGATTTTTTACAGGATTAGGAACTGCGCACATATTGGCGGGGTATTTCAGGAGAATCAAGTGTCAAAATGTAGATTTTTCGTTTGGCGATAGCATGCATAAGGATGGCCAGTTCATGTGGGTAGTTCACCTGTTAATTGTCGCGATGCTGGTCAACGGTATCTCTTGTGAATTCATTTTTCTACAATTTAAATATTTCCGTAATGCCATTACCAATACCTGGGGAGGAGTTGAATCAGCTGTCCCGGGTCAGTTGAGATTACGTAGCCCATTACCTCTTGCACCCGAATTATGTTTCCTAATGATACCAGTAATGGGTGGCTTTAGTTTTGGTTGTGCTATTGAGTTATCAGTTAACATGACAGCCCTCGATTATTGTAACATTCTTCATTTTGGAATGATTCCTATATTTTGTTTACTAACATTTAGACTTGTAAAAATGTTATTTGCCTGGGCAAACGTACAAACGCTTATCTTAGTTTTATACATAATTACGCCGAGCATAAGCGAACATGGACGTCTAACTTCATTTTGTTCTTTAACAACATATGTGCTGTTTTTTGCTGGATGGGCATTTCATAGTTTCTATAAAGACTGGGACGATATGTTTTTTCTTTTTCATGAACCATTTACAAATGTTAGGGAAACACAAGCTAGTTTTACTTTCATTTTTATTGAGAAGGCAATGTTAAATTTCCAAAAGTTGAGAAAGGCTCTTCAAGAAATGTTTTCAAGTCTTAAAGTGAAAATACTCGATTTCTCAGGAGATGAAGAGTACTATGCTTACCATCATATTTTCCTGAGAGACCAGGCTATCTACCTTGTTGTGTTTAACATGGCAAACTTTGCTGATGACAATTTTGGAAATGTAACAGCAAAAATCCAAAGACTTTGCTTCTGGTTGGAATCAATCTGTAGCAAGGCAGCACCAAAATCACCAATTTTCCTTGTCGGGACACATAGGGGACACATGGAAAATACCTGTTTGAAGAGGATTGATAAATATCTACGCCAGAATCTTTTGGATTGTTTTGATGATGAGCTAGTGAGAAATGAGGAAGACAAGCTTCTGTATTTTCCCATTGAGAACAGTCGTGGGAAAAATGACAGTGGTGTTCAAAATCTTCAAAGAAAAATAATGTCCACAGCTGAAGAACACAAGACTACCATGGGCCGTGAAATTCCATTTTCATGGATTAAAATCCAAGATGCAATCATTAATCTGAGGGAAAAGAAGGATGCCAAGTTCTGTGTGACCCTGAAGCAGTTCCCAATATCTGTTGGCAGCTTCATTTGTAGCAACTGGTCTGGGGAAACTTTGAAATACTTTCATGAGAAAGGACTTGTAATTTATGTTGATTATGGACAGGATTCAAAACTGTCAAACTGGATTCTACTGAAACCAGAAATACTAATTGATATCATCATTCAACTGGTCACTCCAATGTCAGACGATGAAGAAACATCATGGCATGGCTTCAGGCGTGATTTCAAATTGCTCCACAACAAAGGAATGCTCACAGAATCTCTCCTTATAAAAATTCTCTCTAGATGGCAAGAGAATGAAGAAGGGATTAAGAAACTCCTTGAGGAATATGACATCATTTGCCCATTATTCAACAATGCAGAAAATAAGGAAGAAACAGGAGTCACACACTTTGTCCCTTCACTGCTGCCAATGTCAGTGAATGGGAACACACCAGTCTGGTATGATGATCCAACAGATAGGAGGTTCTTTGTGTTCTTCAAGAGATTTCTTCCAGAAGCACTTTTCCCTCATCTCCTGTCACGTGCCCACAGGCTCAGCACGGAAGAATTCCCTCAGGGACAGCCAGTTATATACAGAGATGTTGGTAGGTTTTGGTTTAGACCCACCCAGTCGTATAGGCTGTTGGTTCTTAAGAAGGAGAACATGATTGAAGTGACATTTAGCTGCAGGTTAGTATTTTATGGTATTCATCATTATCAATTATTCATGTATTACAAAATGTCATGATGCACGATGCTAAACAGCATACTTAAAGAGAGGGTAAAAACCCTGAAAGGTTGCAGGTGTAGAACATACTGCCCTTTTGATAACTTCTGATGTTTTCTTGTGATTACATAAAGCAGTTTAATGGTCTCAAGTGACTAAAATAATCCAAACGCTTCAAACTCATTATTTTGAAAACTTTCTTTGAACTGTTACAGTAAAATCTCTTTCCCCTTCATTAGAGAATTATATAGAAATTAACAAATAATCTCAAAATGCATTGAATGAATGAATGACTGACTGACTGACTGAATGAATGAATGAATGACCGAATGACCGAATGAATGAATGACTGAATGAAACTACTTTATTCTTCTTAAATTGCTATAATTCTCAAGAAAAGCACTGACATTTAATAACTGACATGTCAGCACTTACCAATCTTGGCTCAAAAACAGTTTTGTTCCAAATCACAAGCTGGTGTTTGGGTTAAATTGTTTCAGTGATGTGAAGTCGATAATTCTTTGCCTGTTTTGAATGATAGGCGTTCCCTTTCAGCTATTTTAGGATTTCAAATTTTCTACGTGCCTTCATGTTTGTTTTTGCATAGCTTGATGGGAAATTGTGACATCATTGCATGGTTGAACGTTTTTAATTCACATTCCAGATGAATACATGTATGTTCAGTTCCAACGAGAAATCATCTTCTGTAGACTCCATATTGAGATCTCTGACAGCACAATGATGTTATAAATTACCATAACTGTTACAGTAAAATCTCTTTCCCCTTCTTTAGAGAATTATATAGAAATTAAAAAATAATCTCAAAATGCATTGAATGAATGAATTAATGATTGAATGACTGAATGAAACTACTTTATTCTTCTTAAATTGCTATAATTCTCCAGAAAAGCACTGACATTGAATAACTGACATGTCAGCACTTACCAATATTCAAAGGGCACACAATTTAAAGATTAGCTCATCAGGAAAACCTGTTAGAAAACCAAGGATGTACGTGCCTTCATGTTTGTTTTTGCATAGCTTGATGGGAAATTGTGACATCATTGCATGGTTGAGCGTTTTTAATTCACATTCCAGATGAATATATGTATGTTCAGTTCCAACAAGAAATCATCTTCTGTAGACTCCATATTGAGATCTCTGACAGCACAATGATGTTATAAATTACCATAACGTAAATATAGCGATGCCCAGGTGATTTAAACTGAAAACCAAACACTTCCTGTTTGATCCACTCACAGAGATATTAAAGTGCTACTGTGATCAAATTTTTACCCCTTGATTATTTAGGTTAATCACATAGAAGTCTACAAAACATTTAAGACGCCATTTACCATTTACAAATATCTGCATTGGTTCCGGAGATATTTAAGCTTGAAAAATGAGTAAAATATGCAAATGAGATGACTGATGACGTCAGACACTCCACCAAATATTACATTAAGTATATAAATAGCTCTATCTTGATCAATTTGTAGCAGAACTCATTGAAACTTGGTAGGCTAATAGTTCTAAATGCAACACACCTACTGCTACAACAATTTCTGTTCCCATGGCAACCTACTCTTTTCCAGTCCCCTCTAGCCTGATTTCAATATTTTAGTGATTTTAAGCTTGGAAAACATTAAGCAAGGCCATGAACTCAACCTAACATATTTATATGCTTGCTGGATCATGCAGATGAGGCGCCATTGGCAAATATCAATATAGAATGCTAAAAGTGGTCAGAAAAGCGTTAAATAGCGTGGAGGTCTGAAACCCAGTATGTTGCCATGGTACCAAAAATTGCTACGCTCATATTGCAGAGCACCTCTAGTAGAATCTTACCGTAAAAAATCAAACGTTTCTGATACAAATTGACTGAGACATCCTGGTTTATCATAACTGATCAAAATTCGGTTGAGTGTATGATGTCATCACTTGGCTAATTTGCATATTTTAAAAATTTGAATATCTCTGGAATGAAAAATGATATTTGATTATAGTAAACAGCATTTTTACTCTTCTACAGACTACTTGTTTATGTCTTAAAATGGTCAGATTTGAATGATGCGATTTTCGTCATAGTAGTACATTAACTTAAAACCACAGGATCAGTTATAGAGAACCATTAGGTATACTTTGGAGCTTCAGCTGCTTTCCAGCCAAGATTCCCTTTAATATGTTAATTTTGGTTGTTATACTGTACATCTAACCTTGACTTTACATGTACAGTCATGTACATGTACTAGCCAGGTACTATGTTTTTTTAAAAATGCCCACAACAAACAAACAACCTCATTTGAAAGTGCAATGAGCTCTTATGAGAGTCAAGGCCAGAGTCTTATGAGTCCTACTAGAATATATATACACATTTTAGTTACATATTGTTGAAGACAGCAGGTACATGCAATGGTTAACACCCCTGTGCTTTGAGAGAACTGGATCAACACATTTTGCAGAGTTTTTTAAAAACAGTTACATAACCTCTCAAAACACTTAAAAGTGTTTTGAGAGGTTACACTGTTGCCTAGGTGACCTCCAGCAACAAGAAAATTTTTAAGGACATTCCCACGAAATTTCTACTCGATAGATTTTCTTCAAACTTCGACTGCAGACAGATAATGAATTACTTGTTTCAGAAGTGGGAAAAAAAAAAATTGGGAGTCACGGACTACATTTCTGAGATAAAGTGTGTGGAAAACAAGTCTGATTTTGAAAAATTGGCACACATAAATCAGCATGGTCTCCAGGGTTTTTAGCTTAAAATTTCAAAGATGAATCAGTGAAGACGAACAATCCTAGTAATATTTTGTATAAGTGAATCCATTGCATTAATAATTCCAATTGTTGCCAATATTTTAATAAAACTGAACCCTTCAAGAGGCATTTGAAACCGCTGCACAGATAACCAAAGAGCTAAAAAGAACAGAATCCGATGGTGCATTTTGGAAAAAAATTATTAAAACTTCTAATCGATAGGTTTTCATTTTTTCCCTTAACGTACATGTAGAAAATTGGTAGAGAAAATGATCCATCAAAAGAAAAATAGGAGTCACCAAATGTCCCAGATTGTTAAATCCAGGCATTAACCTATAGCAATGGCCATCAGCCCTTAAACATTGTTCATCTTATTACTCAGCATGCGCTCTATGCATTACATGACATGTGAATTTGCATGTGCAATAAGGATGCGCAGAAACAGTTAGCACGAATGTCCCAAATTCCAACTTGTTCACTAATAATGGGGCATTCATTTTAATTTGCAATTACCATTATTTGTAAATCATGATTTACATGTGCAAGTTTAAGTATGGAATGCCTTTTTGCAGAGGTGCACGTACTGGGCCTTGAATACATGATTGTATATGTTAACAAATTATCTATTGGGTATGTGCACCACACTAAATGTTTTCTTCCTTGTTGTTTACAGAGAGGGACAAGGAATGAAGCCATCAGACGTGCTGAGCCTTGTGTTTGGTATGGTGAAAGGCATATGCCAGAGGCACTTTCCCTTTGTCACTTTCCATTGTGGTCCAGCCTGCCCCTCAGACAAGTGCCCTGGGTACCAAGGTGATTATATATCACACCCAGGTGTCCAGCAGCCAAGCTCACGGCTGCATGTGTTCAATGTGGTACAGGTACCAGCACGTCAGAAAGGAAGAATTTCTTCATTTTACTGTGTCAACCAAAATTTTGCAGATGAATTTAAGGAGTGGTTTTTTGAGTAAATACCAATACAGTATGGTACAAATTGTATTTTTTATCAAGTCTTTTCACTTAGCTACCAATGAAGTTTATATCATAGATGTACTAGATAATTATTTTCTTAATTACAGACCCCCTAAACAGTACATGGCAATCGTCTAATCCAGTTACAGTACTGGGTACACAGAACATGTAAAACATTACAGCCATAAAAGTATAATTGTTGTGTCAATGCTAAAAGAAGTTATGGGTAAATTTCATTTACCAAGAATGGTTCATGGTGTTTCAGCTTAAAAAAATAATGAATGCCTGAAAAATAATGAATACCTCTATATGTGATTTCTCCAGTTCTACAGGTGTAATCTTTCTGCTGAAACACTGTGAGCTTCGATCAAAAATAACATTAAACCCATAATACCTTTTGGCAGTGTCATGCACACTTAGAACTACTGTACATGTACACTTCTACAGGACAACCTTTCTTGAAACAGCTGTTAACATGTAAAAATGAAGACACTTTTTTGAGGTTTAACACAAGAAACATTCCAAGAGTAATTTGCTCACTATCTTTTGGTTTTCAATGTTAGTAACTGTCAAATGACGCTAATTACATATACATGTATACTGATACTGTACCTTCTTTTCTCTTGCATCAAAAGTTGCTTTTGTTTTTCAAATAATCCCATTTTGCACTGGGCAAATTCAGCCTGTTTTCAAGAAAGAATAGAACATGTACATGTATGAAATACATTGTGTTATATTTCAGTTTTGTAAACTGACAGAGGGACCTTACAGTAAGAACACACATTTTTGAGTCACGGACAGAAATCAGAAAAGGATGATCTTGTTTCAGAACACTTTCACCCCCAGCAGTGATTGGGATAGTGCTTTTTTATGATAACATACACTACAAACGAATGGTTTTCATCCATGACAAGTACAGTACATTGTAAAGGTAGACCAAAATTTTTTGGTATGGATTTAGAATTTATAATTGGAATGTATTGTTAGAAAGGTCAATAAAAAATTGTGTAGAGCATGTGCATAGGTGAACTGTTAACTTAGTAACTTTGAGTCTTGGGCTCAGGTGTTGGGCTTCTCTTTGTTTTGTCAGTTTCAGTAGATGAATGTTCCATCTTACTAGTTAAAAGGGAAAATATACCTTTGTTATGTACACATACCCACTGCGTGTACATGTCCCTGAGTCCACAACACCACCTGGGTAGGGTGGCATGCTTCTGTGCAAGTGCAGATGTTGTATCAGAAACCCACATGGGTTTCTGACAATACACTTGTACATTGTACAACACAATCCATTTCTTACCAAAACATTCCTCTTGAGATCTAAACACCAGTTGTCCAACAATGCCTCCATTCTTGCCAAGTCAGCATCTATTACAGGTGAAGCTGGTACAGGTGAAGCTAGTGATTCCACAGGAGATCGTGATGATGATGACGATGATCGATGTTCAGCTTCTGGTGTGTTAACCATAGGTGTCACTGTATTTGTTTCAACAAAATACATAAAAGTATATTATAAGTGCAATAAGCAAAACATTGTACATGTTCATGTACACGTAGTGCCGAAATACCTACAAAGTCAAAGGGATAGTTGGAATTGTTCTCAATTTTACATGATTAGACCATCCACCATGCTTACAACTACACTTTTGAAAAGTTACAAAAATTGCAAGTGATAGGGTTGACTCCTGATAACTTGAACCCTTACTAACTCGAACCTCCCATTAACTCTAACCAAAATCGATTTCTGTCATACAATGTGCTGTAATTT